GAAATTCGGAAATTCCGAATATTTTATATACAATTCCGATTCCGATCCGATTTTTTTCGGAAAAATCGGAAATTTGAATTTTGGAAATCGGACCATAAAAAATCGTTCCAAAATCGGAAATATTCGAATCGGAACCGGCGGAAATCGGAAATTCCCTTCCGATTTACACCCCTAGGCACGACACATAGCGCGGGTGGAGATATCGAGGCATGTATTGCAAGATCGGCGCGGTATCGATTTGAGATTGGGTCGTTGTTGTAGAATTTCGTTATTCGTCGTTGTTATACTTTTGTATTTATTTATTTTTTTGGGCAGCGCATGGCGCGCGCATGGTGGGGCGCGGGGCGCGGGCGTGTTCGGCCGCGGGGATCGGGGCACAGATGTGTTGGGCACGCGGGGAGCGGGGCGCGCGACAAGGGAGTGGGGCGCATGGCGCGCGCTCGCGGGCTGCTGGGGAGCGCGTGTGCGGGGAGCGCGTGCGCGGGGTGCAGGGGAGCGGGGCGCGCGCTTGGTGGCTGCTGGGACGCACGGCGCGCGATGCAACTTATTTTTTTTTGGTAAATTTCACTTCCCCCCATGTACTTTGGCTAGATATCACTTTACCTCATTGTACTCTCAATTGCATCGGTTTACCCCCTTGTACATTGGTTCGATATCACTTACCCCCTGTTACCCTCAATTCATCGATTTGCCCCCTTGTACTTTGACTCGATATCACTTTACCCCCTTCTAGTCTCAATTGCATCGATTTGCACCCCCCTTGTTTTCAAACCTTTAACCTTAACACCGTCAGATTTAAGAATGAATATTATTAAAATGTCACTCCTCCAGTTTAAATAGTTATTAAAAAAATAAAAATAAAAATAAAAAAAAACAAAAAATAAAATAATAAAAAATTTAAGACAGCGAAAAAACATAGTCGAATGTTAAGGTCAAACGGTGTTAAGGTCGAATGTCTATAAACTAAAGGCGAGTGTCACATTGAGACAATTTTTCAAGTACAAGGGGCACATCGATGCAATTGAGAGTAGGAAGGGGTAAAGTGATATCGAGCCAAATTATAAGGGGGCAAATCGATGAATTGAGAGTAGAAGAGGGTAAAGTGATATCGAATCAAAGTACAAGGGGCACATCGATGCAATTGAGAGTAGGAAGGGGTAAAGTGATATCGAGCCAAATTATAAGGGGGCAAATCGATGAATTGAGAGTAGAAGAGGGTAAAGTGATATCGAATCAAAGTACAAGGGAACAAATCGATGCAATTGAGAGTACAAGGGGGGAAAGTGAAATTTACCATTTTTTTTTTTTTTTTTGTTGTGGTTGATGTTCACCCATTGGGGGATGTTCAATTTTTTGAGTGGGAAGACCATATCCGGCTCTTGAGATGGGATGTCAACCCCTTTGGGGTTGAAAGGTAAGGATGATGTCCAACCATTGGGAACATATGCCCAACCTTAGGGTGAGATAGTCCCCCAACTTAAGATGAGACGATCACTAACTATTGGGATAAGATGCCGAACATTGGGGTGGGATAGCCCGAGTTGAAGCTTCCACGATCATACGCTGAAGGTCCTCTTCGGTTATCTGAACCGTTCGAGGAGGGCGGAGGTAGGCCCCCAAGGAGTCGATAACCCTTGGCGAACAAAATGTTTTGGGGGCACTGTAAACCCCCAGAGAGTCGATAACCCTTGGCGAACGAAATATTTTGGGGGCAGAGGTAAGCTCTCAGGGAGTCAATAACCCTTGGCGAACGAAATATTTTGGAGGAACAACAAACCCCAGGGAGTCCACTACCCTTGGCGAACGAAATATTTTGGGGGCAGAGGTAAGCCCCCATGGAGTCAATAACCCTTGCTAGCGTTGAAGGGTCTCCTCGGTTGTCTGAACCGATCGAGGAGCGGGAAGAAGTAGATCTTGTTGAGGATCTAGTGGGACATCTGAGGAAGGTCTCGTGGTAGATTCCGAGCACGATGAGGAGGAAGTGACAAGCCAGAGCCTCCACGAGATGGGAGGTCGTTAGCAGTGTCACACTCTCCTGAGCAAATGTCTCAAGGCCATTATGCGCGCTACGTGATTATGTATGCCTTCCCACACACGGCGCCAAAATGATGATGCTTAGATAGATCACCTTAGACAGTTGAAGTAGAATGAACTGGAAGAGCAAAGTGGATCACTAGCTCACGAGCTTGATAACCTTGAGAGACCTGCGATCATAGAACATGTGAACTAGGCCGGGGGTTGATCCGGTGAAAACCCCTCCGACGCTCAAGTCAGACGTGCTGATAGTATAAATGGTCCAGAGAATACATGTTGTAGTATTACTCAGATAATAGGACGTACCTTAACAAAATGAGTAAAACATCTATTTATATATCGTTTATTGGGTTGGGTTTGCATTGTTGGGCCCAAGCCTTATTTTGAAGGTCTTTGGGTTTTCCTGTAGTGGACCCAATTATTAGATAAATTGTAGGCTCATTGGGTTGGCCTAATTAGGCATATCAGGGAAATTTTGAGGAGTTTTAATCGAGTGTTCAAGGTGAGGCTGCCGTGGGATGAGAGGGAGAAGAGTGAAGACCAAAATTCTCGTTTCTTCTCTAAGAAGAAGAAGGAACTGTCGTAAGAAGAAGAAGGAATTGCCGGAGGAAAATTGGTACGGAAAATAGGAGGAATCTTCCTTGCTTATAGGCTAGGAAGTTAGGAGGAAATTTACCTAAGGGCTATTATGCGATATTTAAAACAATATAGGGTCCTAATAACAATTAAAGAACCTTTGGGGGAGTAAGTCATACATCCACATTCACACAATACCACACAAACTCACGTAGCACACACAGAACTCATTCATGTATATCTACATTCATTAAACCAAATCGTAAAACGATTAAACATACATTGAATAGATTAATTATCATATCATAATTCTTACGAGATCTTTTAAATTATAATTAAGCACGTACATGAGAGGCAATTCAATATAACCAAAATTTTATAATATCATTATTATCAAAGATTAATTATTCATTTAGAGCACATAATTCATTTAATCACGTACATAAATAAAATTACTTAAATCGTCTAATCAAATCAAGTCGATCGCACATTGCTCTAATATAGACATAACATAAAATATCATAATGCTTACAATTCACGTAATCATTTAGGATACGTAAAAGTTACTAATTAATTCATGAAATGAAAATTACCGATTTACTCAATATAATCTCGTATAATATGCTTATGAAATGTGGGGCGTTATACATGGTGACAGATTAATCACCAAACATAAAATGTGACAGATTTGTGTCTGAAATGTATGTGACAATTTCTGACCGGATAAACATAGAGATAAATTAATGACAAAACTTAAATGGTGATGGATTTGTGACCAATATGTATGTGACGGATGTGTGACGGGCAAGATATTGTGACGGATTTGTGACCTACATTGATCAAATTTTTACATTCACAGAAAGTGTGTGACTAATTTGTGACTGAATAAATTTCCGTCAAAAGATTTGTGACCGACATGTGGCTGAGTTTCGACTGTCACAACATCCGTCACAACATTGTCACATATTGGTCATAAAAAAAATTATAAATCTTAGTAGTACATCCCATCATATATTTGTCACTCATTCGGTCACTAATGGTGACGGATTTAGGGCGT